ACGCAGATTGAACTATAATGAACCCGTTGGGCACAGTAATCCTGCATTCCCTCCGAATTTAGAGTTCCCAGTGTATGAAGCCGAAGATGAGGAAGATGAGGACATACCATATGAGATCACTCGGTTACTTGAACAAGAAAAGAAAGCCATTCAGCCTCACCAGGAAGAGATTGAGCTTATCAACATAGGTACCGAGGAGAACAAGCGAGAAATCAAGATCGGTGATGCTTTAGAGGAAGGGGTTAAAAAGAGGATCATCCAACTCCTCCGAAAATCTCCGGATAAATTTGCATCGTCGTATGTTGATATGCCAGGGCTAGATCCTATGTCCGGCGAGCATTGGATCTTTTTTTCGGATTTTTGTCGTCCCCCCCCCCCCCCCCCCGCCTGTTCCTTTTTTTTTTTTGCGTATCCCCCCCCCCCCCCCCAAGGCCAGCGGAGACCCGATCGCTTGCTTCGACGAGCTCTCGCTTCCGCGCTACCTCCCGCCGCCCTTCCAGTCACGACAGTACGACCCGCAGTCCCCGACGCTGGTGTACGTGCTACTGCACGACTGGTGCCTAGGGGCGGCAAGGGGGGTCGACCCGGATCGCTTGCTCTCCCAGGTATGTAGGTGTAGGCGTCAATCTCTGGTTGGCCGTCGTCGCAGGCGTTTGGCCTCTACATGGCTGTCGTGTGAGCATGTAGACCGAAGTTTATCACGTACCTTTTTTTTTGTTGTCTTAAGGTCCCACCCGCACACTGCTTTGAATGTCCCACGTGCTGTATGTACAGTACCTGTAGCACCATACCTCTTTTCCGCACCCACAAAATCACGCGTACGACGTGACTTTTCGGTGCAGCATACAGGATTTCGAGGTACACCATCGGAGCTGTGTTTCCTGTGCATGTCTTTTCATCGTGGTTGAGGGTCATTATGCTTTTTTTTTGCGCGAGCGTAAACCCATGTCGATGTCACAGTGGGAGGCACCACCGCCTGGACAAGCCGCCAAGCTGAACGCTAGCCAAGAGAGCAGTAGCGCTCGTTCCTTTGTGCGCATGCGCCCGCGTGTTTCGTGAATTGTGCCCTCATCCTGATTTCATGTGTTTTGTTTCGGCGAACGATCACGTCCGGGCCCCTGGTTGTCGATGGTCGGTCGATGGAGCTTGTTTTGAGTTCTTGGGGACCAGGGGCGGGACTGTGGAGATCGCTGGGTTTTCAAGCACGTCGACCATGCGCTGCCACTAAAAAAAGAGTCATGGATCCATTTCGTCCTGCTAGTTTATTTGACTGTCGTCTCTTGGTTGGCTAGTCGATTAGCGCTGTCAATACTAATGAAATATACACGAACACACGCGCAGAAGGATTTTTCTTCCATCGGTAAGAGCGCCCTCTGTTGATTGGTCAACCGGTCAGCGCGGTCGATTGTAGTCAGACAAACACGCAAATGCACTCACAACACGTTAGTGCGGTAGGTTTGCGTTGCCCCGTGTTTCCTGGTGCTGTGTCTTCTGCCACAAAACTCCTGTCATTGTCCTCACAATCAAATCCCGCTCTGTGTTGTGTTTGTTCTGTCTTTTGCCAGATGCGCGGAACGTTCACAACAGGCCAGTGTCGCCTGCTTTGCATCAACAGCCTCCCCCCAGAAAGCCCAAACCTGTACCAGAAGGACATCTGGCCCGACGCCCAGCGGCAGGTGCGCTCCCGGCTGCAGCAATTCGTTCAAAAGAAGATGAGACAGTGGTGGTAGAGGCTCCAACTGCATTAGAGAGGTCAAACTGCGTACGGTACGATGCAAGATCCCATTCCGTAACAGTAGACATGATGATGTTGCTCGGAGAGGATGCTGGGTGGCATGATTGGAGATTTATGATTGGTGCTACAGCCTTGGCTCGTGTAAACTCCACACACCTCACGTTTTTCAGAGTCGCGTTGCCCGATATGAAGGCAACGGACGCTGAAATAGGCATTTGCACGGAAGTACGGCGAAGCTGTGGCTTGTGTACATGGCAGCCAACCTGTTGTTGTTTTCTGTACAACACCGAGGACAGCTGCTTTACAACAGCAGCGCGTTATGTTTTTCGTGGGCTGATCCTGCGCGATGGTTATTTGTTGGTACAAGCGGCGTCCCTGGGCGTTGCAAAGCAACATCTACCTGCACTGAAAGAGTTTTCTCTCTGACGCTTTTTTACTAACACAAGTTGTTGGGGTTGGTTGATTCTGATTCTTGTGCAATGGTCGTCTCTCGACGCCAAGGAAGAACAACAAGACCCCCCTCTCCCCGTCCCCCCTCTGGCTGCTGTGCCAATCTTAGCCGGTTCAAACCTCTACGCCGTGTTCCGCCTTGCTTTGCTTCAAAGCAGGGCAGCAACACAGGCGGCGTAATTAGCGGCGATGGGCCGGAAGGGGGCTCCACCGCAGACACCACGGAAGGAGGCGGTGGCGATGTGCGGGGGCGTTGTCTTAGCCCCGAAGATTTGGTGGCGACGAGAGACTTCGTCCACGGCCTTGCGACACAGGTATGCTACTGCTGTACAGAGGAGGGCCGTGCTAGACACTTTTGTGTTGCACGCACACATTGGCTTGAATTTACCGTTGCGGATGTGGTAAATAGTTGGCTCTTGTTGAGCTGACTCTTGTTGAGCTGGACTCGGGAGTTTTACTGTGTGCGTGTTTGGTGTTGGAAGCTTGCTGTGTCTGAAAGTGTTGACACCTGAGTTCGTTCGTATAACCAATCAAATGGAAGCGAATCAAAGCGAAACGGCATCATGTAGCGCATGGCGGTTGGCGTGGAGTATTGCCTTGGTTCAACCAAAAGCGCCTGGCAACGATGCGGTCATCTGGACTTCGTAAGTTCGTGTAAAGATAAAATTGTGTTCGTTGTTCGAGTAAAAAAACGTGTCAGCTGTGTGAACTATCGAGCTTTGGGAATGCCACCCGGCAGCCGGCAGTTAGCAGTGGGTTGGTCCTACTGCCTGCTTTTATTCCATCTTGATGGCGCTGTGCTCTAATGAGCCAGCCCACCGGAGGGATCACTCGAATATCGAATATTGCTGTGTGTAAGTCTAGTTACCGCGTTTCCCGCGTTGGTTGTTTAGTCTGGATGTTGTTGACGAGACTTGCTGATTGTACACTTTATGTTTTTTGTTTCTGGTCGGACGTACATACTGAGTGAGCCTGATATATTTTTCAACGTGCACGTTGCTGGTGTTTTGTCCCGTGCACGCCCTCAGGTGGTGGTGCCATCCATGGAGCGGCGCATCCTCAACCTGAACGCCACCGTCAGCAGCGTTCGCAAGGGCGTCAAGAACTTCATGAAGTGAGGAAAGCAACGTTACCTCTCACTCACGTGTCCTAAAAAACTGGCAACAGCTGAAGTGTGGGGTGGTGGATGTAGTCTGTTGATTTTCTCTTCACCGCCTCCGACGTGTTTTCCCAAAAAGAGCTGCGACAATGTGAAGGTGTTTCGTGATTTTGCTGTTGTTTCACGCATTCCTTCTGTTTCATTTTGCAGATCCAACCAAACCCCGTGTTTGGTAACGCTTCCGAAAACGCAACCAACAATAATCGAAAACTGTCATTTACTCCCGTTCTTCTCTCATTTGGTGTTGTCTTTGGGTCGCTGTATTTTTTTTTTTTCAGGTCATGGCTGAGAAAGCCCCGGGACAGCGTGGAGATGCACTCGGCGGACGGCGGGGCGGCAGGGGGTGCCAAATACAGGTGCGGACATGCAGGTTTCATCCCGTTTAGTTCATGGCCCGATAGGCTGGGGGCACAAAGTATGTAGAACCTGCTGCATGCTTGCGTCTCGTATCACACCCGCTGCTCGCAGTCCGCACGAAGCATGTCTTCACCCAGAAGCGCAAAACTGCCAACGGGATAGTACCACGTTTGGTGTGTTCCCGGCTGCTATCGACACTCTTGTGCTGGACGTATATTCAAGTATTCGGTATCCTTCGGGGAGAATGTTTCTTCTTGCCGCAATCGAAAACCTGGCTAACGGCAGACGACCCGATGTATTCGTCCTTGAACCGAAAATATTGCGCGAAGGTTTGACCGCATCGAGAGCCAGATCCGACTGCTGGCGGACAGCGCGTTCTTGATGCGAGACCTGGACACCGCGGTGGCCATGTACCGCATGGCCAGGGACGACTTCAAGAGCGACAGGCGAGAGAACCAACGGCATCGTTTCGCAGCAGCGTCAGCGTGGTAATACTTACGCGTGCAGACCCAGCAACGGCCTTGCTTTTTTTCGTCCGCTCTCCCATTACTGCCCAGGACGGGTACCCCCCCTCCCATTA